TTCCAATTACCCCTAGCAAACATACAGTGCTTGGAACATTAGTATATATTGACCCATCACTTTTTGTATTGTCCAGGATTTGTTCATGCATCCACTCAGCACATTTAGCAGCTAATTTAGTGCCCATATTTCTATCAAATGGTGAAGGAGAACCACCTTGCTGCATGTGACCTTATATTTTTATTATATAAAGATTAATGTTATATTCAGCTATGTAATAGAGAATTGGAAATTTAAGGGAAATAGATGTTGCATATTACTAAAAAATATTTTTCATATATAAACTATTACTACAATTATAAGGCATAATTCAAAATTGATCATTTAAAGTTCATTGCATCCAACATTTTATAAATATGCAATTATTCAAAAGTATGATAGTTGAAAATATTTAGACAAATATACTAAAGTTCTTACCTAGTACATTAGTCCGTGTAGAGAATATACCTTGCCCTTCTTCTGAAAATAATCTATGGATAAAATCTGTATTGTAATTTTCAGAAGACTTCTCATTACGCAATATTAATCCTCTTTGAATGCCTGATCTCATTTTTGAGACCATATGATTTAAGTCATTTTGCAGATGTTTAATTGTAGTCTTCTCTTCAAAGATGTATGCAGCATCAGCACCACCTGCTAAGCCTGAAGAAATTTAAATATACGATTTTATATATTTATTGTAATTATAATAATAATATAGTGCAGTGTATAAACCAAATGTTATTGTTTTTATGCATGTTTTAAATTGTGGAGTGTTGTAATAAATATTGATTGAGATACCTGCAAGTGTTGCCAAATATCCACAATAACCACCCATTGTTTCTACAATAAAAACACGATTTTTTGTACCCTAAATAACAAAAATCACACTTTAAATTTAACATTGCCAAAGGAAAGTTTTAACCACTTCGGTACGAGCGACAAGTATACTTGACGGCCGCAGAATGACCCACTCAGCCGGGCGTCACGTTTAGTGGATAGCTGTAATACCAACGCTCAGCGTACGGATGTTGCATGCCGGCCGTGAGCGACGTTTTGCGGCCAATAGGCGCCGTATCGAAGTGGTTATTAAGAAATAAATTTTGATTACCAGTAAACCCTACAAATATTAAAATTACGTAGCACAAAAGTATCAGGCGTTAGTTTCGTTACAAAACAAAGTAATACGTTCTACATGATTATTAATGTCATATGTTATATTGAATGGATGTTGAAGAGGATTAAGTATGCAGCGATAAATTACGTTATTTATTTATTTTCGGAATTTGTATTATTTTTTTATGACTCGAGGCTTGCCGCAACGTTTGCCATCCTGAAGCCGAAACGACTAAATGCTTGAGGAATAACAATTTTCAATATATACAGAGGTTATGTACAGATCTAGAATAGAACCTTGTAGTTTTCCTGGTAGCATTAAAAATCAAAATAGTAGAAATGTTTGAAGATTAATAAGACATATTTAACATAAAATAATAAATAAATACGGCTGCGATAGAACAAGCACAAACTTCAATTATACAGACCACTTCAAATATTATTAATATGTATATATTTAATTAATATCACAAAATTTATATTTTGAAATGCTATAGATCTATTATTATATTAATTATTAAGTGGAGAAGTTTACGAAGTAATTTTGGATATCCACTCAAAATTATGAATCGAGTTTCGGGAATCTTTCAATATGATTCTTTTTTGAAACAATTACTAAACACCAGGAAGCCAGTAAATTACATTTAACTTCTGATTATGTAAGTAATGACAAATTCACATTAATGAAATTAAATTTCAACTCTCAGTTTAGATGCAATCCTTTACTGATTATACAGTAAAATAAACAATCAACCCATGATTCCAAATATTATTTTATATGCTTTAGTGATGCACAATTGTTTGGTAATTTATTATTGTAAATTAATTTGAAGATATGTTTCAACCGCTTTCAAAATTAAATCATTTTTAATAATCTTCAAAATTTACTTTTTGATGTTCACAATTTCTACTTTGTCGGTTATATTGGTTAAACTAACAATTTTGATTATGAATTTGGATAACTTTTACTAAATAAATACAACCACGATTTTTTCTGATTCAAATTATACGAATTTTTCGAGTCGGCACATCACTAATTTTTAACATTTTTACTGTTTTAGTAGATGATTTTATTTAAAGTTTTTAAATTTTTTTAAACTAAAATAGAATGTTTATTACTGTCATTTGATATTAGTATAAAAAACTATAAATCTTCAATCACATACCTGTGCTGATTGCTTGATTCTATCACATATTTCACTTATTTCATTAAGAGCAGTATCACTTCCTAAAGAAAACTCCGTGCCAGGTACATTGTTACTTATTGTCGAAGGAATTAATGTTATGGGAATACAAAAGTTTTTGTATGTTTTTCTATTTTCTAACAGCATCAAACCTGCCTTAAAAGCCTGAAATAATGAATTTATTTTAGCTGGTATTAAACCCGATTTGAAAGCCTATGATAAGACTATGATAATTTAAAATCAACGTGTAATTCTAAGTAGATTTAAAAAAAAGTTCGAGGAGAAAAATAAAAGTGCCATTTTTGTCGCGCAATGTTAACAATAAGTTGATGAAAGATGTGATTGTTAGTTTTAACTAATTTGTTATTAACTGGAGAATGCATTTTGTAAAAAAATATATTATCTCGTTAAAAGAGGACTCACTCTTTTAACAGTAATGTTTCTCAAAGCAATATTTTTATTGTCTAATCAACTCCTATGATATATGTTAATTTCAGTTAAAGATACTTAAATAAAATTATTTTTTGTTAAAATTTCACATGTTGAAAGAACTATATCAGGTCTCAAATAAATATTTAACCCCTTAAGTTACGATTTAAATTAGAAAATGTTGGGCCAAAGTTGTACAAGCTGGCGCAGCGTTAGTGACTATTTTTTCACACAGTGTACAGTTTATCACAAAAATAAAAATAATTTTATATTTTAGAGTTTTGTATAAATAAATATTTTCTAATATTTGCTATCACCTTACCGGGCCATGTCCGTAATGCGTAATATTTTCATCTAGTCCGATTGGCCTAGCCATCGTACGCGGGATATGCTCATCATTGTAAGTTAAGGGGTTAAACTTATTTTTTAATACTGGATACAAAAAAGAATATTTAAAAGGTCACTTCAAAACTTACTTCAAAACCACCAATTATCAATAAACCACTTATGTCGAACTTTGTGAACTGCTCAGCAATCCTTTGTAAAGTGGAACTTGTTGGAAGTGTGCGTTTTGTACCTAGAAACGCACCTCCCTGACTCACCCAGCCGCTGACATCAGACCTACAAATTATTTGAACATATATTAGTTCCATGAATAGCACAAGTATTCAAAAATGTGCAAAAAAATGTATAATATATTTAGACGCAAAATGGAGGAAGCGGCTTTTCTGTATGAGGCAGAATAATAATAATTATTATTAATGACGACTTGCTTATAATAAATAAATAAAAAAATAATATCAACAAGCTAATAAGTACGTATACATCGAGCAACATCAACAATATAAAAATTGTGATGAGTTCAACAAGAACGTGACTCTTATTCCAGTCTGATTCGTAAATGGATAACATGAGAAAGAGAATAGTCAAAAAACGAGATAAAGAAATCAATATTATCAAATCAAAAGTATTTGAAACAAATATTGTAATGAGGTAGTTTCTTGAAGATAAAAGGTAAAAAAAAAATATTTTGAACAGCACTTTAAGAACAAATGCTGCATATATAAAATCACATAAAAATTATTAATACTTTTTTATGTGCTTCGATCAAGATTAATTTTATTGAATCACTAGGTAAACTGATTTCACTTTTGATACTTATTGATGCCTTGATTCACTTTGCATTATCTTATGACTACTCTCGGTGGATGCTCGTATAAATGTTATGAATAAATTTCTTGACCACAGAGACCCTTACATACCCTTTGATGTTCATAATATTTTTTTTGGTTTACTACTAATACCATACCTAACAATAAGAGAAATTTTTTTTGGGAATTTCGAGGGTTTGAAATCTTGATTAGCGAGTTATGGTCCTTCGACAAAGTTTCTTGGCGTGACCCATACCCAGAGAACAAATATCGCAACATACCTAATGGTCAAAAGTGTTGATCTACCCTAATAATATATACAAACTACAGAATAGTGATGTACCAAAGAAAATAAAGGATGGAAAATTTTCTATTCAAATGTATCTGTCGCAGATCAGTAGGAAGCAAATAATGATCATTTGGAATTAAAAACAACCGAATACATGAAGCCATTAGATCAAAATTCATATGATTGAAGATTGATCTACCAGTGTATGATTGAAAAATGATCAAATGTACTACATTCTATTTACATGTATTATTATCAGTATTAGTAGTTTTGGTTTCATATTCTATTTTGTTTCCTCAACAATTTTTGTTCACAAAACTGCTAGGCTTTATTGATAAAAATAATTGACATAATAAAATATAACTTATATATCTTTAAATAGGATTACCATTGCAATGGCTTTATATTTCCAGAAATCAGTCCTTCAATACCATCATGTATTCCAAAAACTCTGTGACCTCTGTAAATAGAATTCCTGACAAAAGATCTAACAGCAGCGTTCATACCACATGCTGGCGCCCCAATATGAATAACTGCAAAATTTCGTGTTTTCTGCAAAATCAACCATTTGAATAATAAAACTAATTTATGAGAAAATTATTATTCTTTAATTTCTCTTTAACTTTTGAAAAATTAAATCGCTGTAATTATCATATCAAAATTTATGTCATAATGTGCTAGGAATGACAAAAAAGTCAATTTTGGTAACATTTAATTTATGAAGTCTTATAATCCATAAATTGAGGTATAAAGGTTCAGCCTTTTAGAGAGAAATTACAAATTTCAAGCCCACTACACTACATATCATTTAACACTTGTGTGTTGTATTACAGAATATAATTTGCTTTTGATCAAAGTATTCTTAAACAAAATCATCTCACGTTGATCGGAAATTATGAGCTTATAAAGGCAAACTAGAGCTTTGGTAAAATTATGACCATTTTTCGGTTATTTTTATAAATATTGTTCATTTGAACATTGGAACCATAACTGTGAATAACATTTATAGGACTACAATCAATAACATTAACACAATAGTCCCAAGTTTTAAAGATAAAAAACTCTTTAACTTTTTGTTGAACTATAGTTCAACCTCTTTAGAGTCGATCCATTTAAAAAAAATTTATATTCATATATAAATATACATTTTTTAAAATGGGTTGACTCTAAAGAGGCCCTCCTTTAAAAAAAATGTACTAAGTTGTATTGGCAAATTTCGTCAAAAGTTGACGCATTTAATCAGAATTGTAAAATGGTAAAATACTTGAAAAATTTATTATTAAAAGACTTCAAGTGAAAAAATAAAAACCTAAAAATGACATGATTTTTCCTAGTACATTTTACTCTCAATTAGTTCAAACGCTTGCCGCATGCCTACCTTCAACGTGCAAGCAAGAAATTGTGAGTAATACAGTTAGTACTTACAATACAAGAAACTAATTATGAGTAATACAATTGGTTAGTACTTACAATTGGTACAAAATTAATATAAATTAACCACAATAACTGAAAAATTGTCATAATTTAACTAAAGCTCTAGGTAGCACTTAAAAGCTCATAATTCCCAAACAACATGAGATTTTTTTTCTAATTTTTTTCAGGGCAGTAAAGGTCAATACTATCACCCAGTTTCGGCTTGGCGTCAATGTCTGGGACATCCTGTATATGTATATGTATATATATATATATATATATACATATATATGTATATATATATATTATATACATATATATATACATATGTATATGTATATATATATAAGTCGAATAAAAAATCCTCAAGATATATATATATATATATATATATATATATATATATATATATGATTAATTTCTTGGAGGGCGTAACATCAAGTAAAAAATATAAATAAGATAAAGATTTTTTTAAAACATCTTTATTTTTCCATACGTTTCGACGTAAAATTCTATGTCATCGTCAGTAGTTCTACAATTTTGAAAAAAACAGAGAGTAACGTTAAAAATTGAATATACATAAGCAATAATAAAAATAAAAGAAAACAATAAATAATATAATATTTTATTGTTTATTGTTTTCTTTTATTTCGACGATTGGCTGAAAATCAACATTCAAGAATATGTCTCAACGTCAAACAAAACAGTCTAAATCTTATATATATATATATATATATATATATATTTATATATTTGCAAAATAGCTAATAGATGAAAGGTTACTTACATATGACAAAGAACTTTCATTCAAGGGAGGTTTTGGAAGTGTTAACATTTTATATGTTTCCAAATTTCTAGCAAAAGACACTCCTCGCAATTTTACTGCTAATTCCCAATTTTTATTTTCCATAGCGTTAGCTACAGCTTTTGTGTGAGAAACACATTCCATCAATGGAAGACGAACTGCTTGGTTTCGGTGCAAGGTCACAACACAAGGCTCAGACTCATCATGAGCTTCCATAAGGGCTAATACTGCTTCTGCCCCCATGCGACATCCCTAAAATATAATATTAATATTGGCAGAAAATCCGGCTTGCTAATTCTATGTTTTCTCAATGTTTCAATGGATTCTGAATCATTTAAGATGTATGTATGTGAGCCAAAATTCATTTTTACCAGTAATCGATCAAAAGCAGAAGGACTTCCACCTCTCTGTACATGGCCAAGCACTGTAATTCTTGTATCCTGATTTAAACCTGCAATAATGACTTCTTTAATTTTTTCTGCTGTTATAGGTTCTCCATTTCTATCAATTGCCCCTTCTGATACCATGATAATATTTTGCCTTCTTCCAGCTAATCGTTCCTGTAATTAACAATACAAATGTGAACTGTTTCTTTCATTCACTTTTTGGAACATTTGCAGTCTTATTAGTCAACAACATGACTTATACAAAAACTTTAATACAGAGAGTACAATAAATAATAACATTTATGTTATGGATATATTAAAATAACAGACTTATGAATAACATTAAAAAAAAAAAAAAGATTTTGATATTACCTGACTTAATAGTGCGCATAAAACACTTGGCCAGTTGGCATCTGGAGGATCTTCGGGCGCAAATATAAAATCAGCTTCAACACACAAGCCTGCAACAACAGCTAAATATCTAAAATAAACATGCATTACTAAGTTTGAATACTATAATCTTTAAAATATAAATAAAACTTAAAATCAAATTAAGTAACATTTGGTTCACATGCAAATTTATATTTTCCATTATAATTATTTCAATCAAATTTATATTTTAATGGCATTAATATTAATTATCATATTTAAATTCTCCATGAATCAATCGAAACAATAAATTGATATTTTCAATTACAAATTGGAAAGATAGTAAAGCCACCACCCTCATATTTAAAAAAAAAATTTGCAGTTTTAATTGGTCTGAAGCAAATTCCAATATCGATTTTCAACTTTCTATAGTTCCTTTTCTCAAACTCTGTTTGTTGTGACCACAAAAAATATAAAAAAATTAAGTGGTTCTATTCAGTGGTATAGAATATATAATTAACAGTAATGAATTTATTTCGATTACAAAAATGAAGTGTTTTTTAGTTGAACTTCTCTAAGTAAATGAAAGTGAATCCGCAAATTATCCGTTTCATTGAAGTGCTCTTTGGTAACCCACATTTTTTGTTTTTTGGTCTGATGTTAACACAAACAAAGCGAATGGTTTTCCAACTCGTGAACAAGCAACGTATCCCGCAAATGCATTTATCCCGCAAACACTAAGCGATTGGCCTTGCGACTTGTTATTGCGAACGCAAGGCAAACTGGAAATTGCAATCGTTTGAAGTCAAACGGAAGACCAGTCAGAATCATTGGTATGTCACCAAATCGCCAGCAATTTTTGATTTAATGGTGAAATTCAGTGCGTGTACATCATTATTCTTTGCGGCAAGCATTTCGTTGACTTAACCAAGCATTATTCTGACAATTCTCACTAATGTCATTACTCGAATTTTTAATTACGGTGCGTGAAGTTCCAGCAGCTTGCATTAAGGCACGATGCCATGCACAACTAATTTTCTTAGCTATAAACCTTGCGGAGCCCGAGACCTTTCTAACGAATGCAAAATTGTCGAAATCGGTTCGTGCGTTCTTGAGTTATTTCGTCAGGAAGGAAAACCCGACTTATTTTTATATATATAGAAGATAAAAACAAATTTTGGATAATTACTTGTTAGTGTCTGAAAAAGTTAAAACAATTTTTTATTACTAATTTTTAATTAGCTTCATTCCATGGCATTCACACAACCATATACTTTATGACAAAGCGAGTAGTCACAATTTTTTTTATTATTTCAGATATACATAGCTATGATAGTTTCTAAAAATGATTTCATAAAGCTATATATAAAAATGTTTGACAAAATAACAAGAAAATTTTGGAAAACCTCAAAAAATTTAAATATTTATATGTCAAACATTGAATTAAACTATATTCACCCGCAGTTTCGTCCCATTACTTCCATAATAAATGTTCTTTTATGGGAATATGCAGTGCTAACAATTGCATCAGTTGCATCTACAATTCTATGCAAAGCTGAATCAGTTCCAATTGTCATATCTGTACCACAAAAATCATTGTCAATTGAACCTACCTTTAATAATATTAAATTTGTTAATATAAGTATAAATATATAGTATTTATAATTAGTGATATGCAATATTTACCATCCCTGTAATATGCAAACTCTTGCAAGACCCAAGTTCTTGATTGGATATTTGTTTTTTATCCAATAGTTCATTGACCAGGCATTCCCATTCTTGTCGAAAAAGATTTGCCCCAGTAAGTGAACCATCACCTCCAATAACAATTAAATTATTTATTCCATTTTTTATAAGATTTAAAGCTGCTTTCAGTCGACCAGAATGAGACCTATGGATTATTGATTTTTAAAATTAAAATTCTTATAATATTATTGCTTTTTATTTAGAAATTCAAAGTAGAATTATTTTATTAACTTCCCGTAGGGTAGTTATAGTAATGGGCCGAAAATCGAAAATGAAAATTTTTGCATTTCTCCACGTTTTGAAGGTTTCTGAACATTTTGGCATACCTCAGATAAAATGGATTTGTGTGTGTTTTGTGTGTCCGCATTTTTTCGTTCACGTTTTCGGGCGCACGGATCAACCGATTTGAATGGTTCAAAAAACATTCGATTCCTATTGATAGGGAGATGTGCTGATTAGTTTTTAGCAAAGGCAGGTCCAGCCGTTTCGGAGATACGGAGCAAAGAGTGCAGAAAATAGAAATCGAGTTTTTGAGAGAACGGAGCATGCGATTTGAATGATCTAAAAAAGTTCAATTTGTAATGATTAGGAGATGTGGTGATTAGTTTTTGGCAAAGGCAGGTCCAGCCATTTCAAAGATACAGAGCTAAATGTACAAATAATGGCAGTTTTTGAACTGCTAGTGTTGACGAACCAATTGCTTTTGGAAAAATAAAATTGTTTCATTTTTTTTTTCAATCTTTTTTTGTAAATCAAAAATAATTCAGATTTCAATTTTAATTCTGGATAAAGTTCTAAAACTCACTTAAATACTTTATGTGAATAATTTTTACTTTGTTATTCAGTTTATATAATTCTTATAAATATTAGACGATTTTACAAAATTTATAATAATCTATTTGAAAACATTTAATATTCCTCGAACATTTCGTAACGGTACGGCAAGTTCCAGCAATTTACCTTAAGACACGATGCCATACATTACTAGTTTCTATTTAATCTGAGAACATTGACAATGTAGAAAAAAATTATTAGAGAGTCCGCACATGCATTAAAAGCAGAAAAAAATGCAAAGCATAGGCTGAATATAATAGTTAATAGGTGAACAGTCATTTATTTAATTTCTAAATAACTTACCTAAACTCCTTACATCTAGCTGAACCAATAATAGTACCACCTAAGTTGATAATTCCACTAACAGATGACCAATTTGCCTCCACAATATTATCACCGCCATCAACCATTCCTTGATAACCTTCCTTAATGAAATACACTTTGCAACCTAAGTATAATCCCATTCGAATGACTGCTCGTAGTGCAGCATTCATTCCCTGTGAATCGCCACCACTAGTGAAAACAGCAAAACATTTTCCTTTGAAAGCATCCTTAATAAAATACGGACGATTTAAATCCATTGTAAGTGAATTTATATCTTTAATAATCCAAATCTGCAATATAAGAAAGACATATTATTCTTCATTAAATGTTATGATATTCTAAATTAAATGATGATGCATATAATTGTGTAATGCAATTATAATGACACTATCACAGGGTGTAACTCATTTAATATAAACACACCCTCACTATGTATAATAAGAACAGTAGTTTATTTATAATGTAAATCGTGTATAGAAAGATAAGAAAAAAAATGAATGAGATAAATCCATTTAATATCTAAATCTATGAAAAGAATAAAACAAATATAAAATATACCGTACCAAATGCACATTGTAAACACCATAAGCACCGTCAACACAGTGTTAATAAATATTCTGCCTCTACTGAATGTTTGTAAACAGTTTGTTAATTAACCCCAAAGAGAAGATGACAGTTCAAGGTGACCTTTGCCGGTACTGGGGTACTGTTTGAATCAACAAGTGCGCTTGCGAGAACCATATCAAATAATTTATCAAAGATAAAATAACTTAATGAGTTGCTTTAACGATATAGATATCACTTTTTTACCATAAGATAGTTTTTTGATATACTTACAAATATATTATTGAAAGAATTAAAATTATTGTGTTTAATGCTGCATATTCGGTTTAATGCCGCCACTTCATATAGAACATATTCCTAAAATTATATCAATTAAGCAGTTAAAAATATCCTTGATATTTTTTCTTCAGAATGTTGGTTATATAACTAATCTATTAGCACTTTTTTAAATTGGAATTTGTAAATATTCTGAAAAAATTAAATCTTTTTTAACTTCCCTTAGGGTAGTTATATAGTAACGGGCCGAAAATCAAAAATGAATTTTTTTGCATTTCTCCACGTTTTGAAGGTTTCTGAACATTTTGGCTTTCCTCAGAATAAATGGATGTGTGTCCGCATTTTTTCGTTCACGTTTTCGGGCGCACGAAGCATCTGATTTGAATGATTCAAAAAACTTTCTGCTTGTGTTGACGAAACAATTGCTTTTGGAAAAAAAATTTTCGTTTCGATTTTTTTTTCTAAAAAATTTTTTTTTTTATATATCAAAATTAATTCAGATTTCAATTTTAATTGTGGTTAAAGTTCTAAAGCGCACTTATATACTTTAAGTGAATAATTTTAACATTGTAATTCAGTTTATATAATTCTTATAGATATTAGACAATATTACAGAATTTATAATAATCTATTTGAAAACATTTAATATTCCTCGAACATTTTGTTATGGTACAGTACAGGAAGTTTCAGCAGTTTGCCTTAAGGCACGATGCCATACACCACAAGTTACAGGATTTGATGATAACATTTAACATCAAAATTATGTTAAATTTTAATGGATCATTTTTTTATTTTTCTATGAGAAAACAATTGCATCGTTGCATTAATACATTTTTTTAAATAAATTAATAAATAAAGAATAAAAAATAAATAATTGTTGAATTTTTTTTTGAAATTCACTATATAAATAGTTTGTTTAGTCCCAAAATTTAAATATAAATTGTGCCTAAAAGAAAATTTTAAAACCTTCAACAAAAACACCTAATAACAAAACCAGTAAAAATAAATGTTTTCAAACAAAATATTAATAACATTTTAAGTCTTGTTGCTATTTTTTGTAGCCTAAGTAAATAAGTTATTTATTTTGCATTATCTTTATTAAAATAATATATATATATATATATATATATATATATATATATAACAATTCTTAACAACTCACTACAACCAAAAATTACTTCGACATTTTGTGTAATTAAAACTGGGAATTATTTTATTCTAATTAATAAGACCTAACACAAATTAAATTACGGATCACTGGTTTCATTGTAAGGACGAATACTATGCATTATACTATGTATTATAACATTCTAACAATAAATCCTAATAAATGTGTATGTAAAAGAATACAAAAGTTATCATAGCAGGTAAAAAGCGGACATGACATATAAAAATTGCCTCCAAAACAATGGCAAAAAAATGTAAACACAATATCAAGAGACATCTTATCTTAAAAGTATCTGACAATTTCTTAATAATAAATATTTTGATACGAGTAAAAACTATATATAAACAAATACAAAATAAAGAAGAACACAATATAATACATGGTGAAGAATCTCAGAGAATGTTAGAATTTAAAAATATTGTATGTGCCACTTATAATTTGTAGCGTCAGATTGGAAGTGACTACTACAAACCAATTCACTTGCCCAATCTCTAGCCATTTTTTCTGATTTATCAACTATACACAGTCAATCAATATATGCGGTTTGAATCAGATCAAATGCGATCAAAATGCAAGCAAAAGATGAGTGAAGAAAAAGGTTGTAAGCTCTAATAAACTTAATATTTTTGGCCAATATTCTAGTCAATTCAGAAATAAATAATTCAAAAAGAACTTGATGAAAGACTGCATAATACTGATAATTAATAATATTGACAATATAAAATTCTTATTGTGTTGTAATTTTTACATGTAAAATGTAAATTAAATTAATATTATAATTTTATTGCTTAAGTTATCAATCAATTGTTTACTATTAAGAAGTAGTTTTTACAACTGATATAAAAGTATAGTAAATAAGATTGCATCTCAGAAATAACTACCCAATTGGATCAAATTAAAGAATTACTACTACACATACATCACTACATTATTGTTGTAAAAAATTCATTCGTATCTCATATATATTTTTAATCTACATTCAATAATGTAATAAAAATAAGAAAGAATAAAATCTACTATAATAAAATAACTTCGAAGGCTTTGGAGCAAAGAAATATCTTTTGAAAAAAAAAAAAAACTCAATTATACATACAAGCCATACAAATGATGATACGTTCATAACTCTCTTTCACAAAACAGAATTAATAGGTTTCAGAATTAATAACAGTATACAAAAAGTAAATGCCAAAAAATATAATTCAACTCCTGGATAACTACAAGACATGTCAAAATTCTCAATCGAATCAAAAGATTAGGAAATATTTGGCACTTATAACATTTTCTACACTTTTAGAGTTGGAACAGCCCATATTTAATATTATAATTTACTGTTAGTTTATGTAAAACCAACACACATTAGTACTTTAGTTTCTTGGCTCTTATATAAACATATCTATTATTAGCATTTTGCATTACATATATTCCATACAAACACAATAGCAAAGAGTTAACTCAATATGTTGTGAATCAATACATATTTGCATTTGTTTTCGTTGTTTTTTTTTTCAGAAAGTATATTATAAAAATATAAAAATAAGATTATCAATTTTAACATAGTATGACTTTCAACTATACATGTAATTTAACAAGTAAATGGTACCTTATACTAAATATTCTTGATATAACATTCAGATAAACTCTATACTATTGACCTAACAATGACTTTAAAAATTACATTATTTAATCTTGTATAGTTGAGTTACACAAGTAAATTTTCTGTGCTCGCATTTATAAAAAAATTAATCATTTCCAATTGATTTTTAGCAAGTGTTTCTACATTGAAATGCATATTACAAATACATAATTTGTAATATCTTTAACAAAATTTGACATAGTCAATTTGTACTCAACAGATATATTCAACAAAAACGTTTTTATTCAGTTTGACTGTCCTCTTAGCAGCATGAAAATAAATCATTTATTAATAAATGAATTAATACCATAAGCACAATAAAAGTACACAGAAAATAAAAAGTATTAAGAGATTCATATCCAATTAAATATAAGAAAATGTAGTTTCAACTTAATAAATCTAATTAGCATAAATATACATAAAATTAGTTATATCAGACAGAGATATCAATTATTTTCTGTGAATTTGAATATGTCTACCTTCAACTGTTTGTTTCTTGAACTCTTGCTCAAGGAAATCACGCAATTTTGTGAACGCTTTGTCAAAATTATCATTTGTTATGACAATATCAAAATTTCCTGGCTCTTCACCTACAATAAATTTTTAATTTTTGTATATTTTATTTTAATATAGAATAATAATTAAAAGTACAATAAACAGTTTAATAGTTACATCGTACCATATGCAAGTTCACTCTTAGCAGTATTCAATCTCTTCTGTAAGCTTTCTTCGGTTTCAGTATTTCTGTCGCGTAATCTTTTTTCAAGTTCTGCCATAGAAGGAGGTTTAACGAACACAAAAACTGGATCTAAATCTGTTTGTTTTACTTGCATCACTCCTTGAACTTCAATATCTAGCACACATACCTAGAAAAATGTTTTTTTTTTTTTAATAGCATACTTAATAAATTTTGACAATAGTAACAAAAAGAAAAGTTATTAATTATAATTCATATTTTGATAAATTTCTGATTGCAAAAACAGTGAGTACAATCTAACACATTAAAACGGATCTACTTGGACATGGTTTTCCAGTAGCACGCTGTAATATTTTTTATTCTTGTTGTAGATAATTGATCACACATACAAAACATATATAAAGTTTATAAGATAGATTAATATTTATTTTATTAACTTATATTCGTTAAATATAGTATATGATTTATTTGAATACATAAATTAATAATGAGTTTAGTAATATTCGAGCTTATTATTTGTTATTTAGTCATATTAATGAATTATAGTCAAAATAGAATGTTGGCCCTTTTATTCAAAAAAGTGCTGTTAAGTGGAACTTGAAAAGGTAATGGTAAAATGTTATGAGTGATATTTAAACTTAACATTATTAACACTTAATGGACAGTTTGAATCTGTTCTGCCTTACCTTTGTATCTGAGCATTTTTCAGATGAATTAGATAAATGCGTATATAAAGCATTGTAACTACAATAAATCTTAAAGCAATATTATTTCCTTTGATTACAACAAACAGATTATACTATAATTTATAGTATTAAGACAAAATAAAAGTTTGCATAATAAAGCCTGAAAAATGTTTTAGTTGACTAGGAAACAAGTAAATCTATAGGGTCCTCATTAAGCGTTAAGCATATTGCATATTGATAAGACAGACTTAAATGCAGTAAAATTAAAATAAATGTTGAATTATTTAAGAATAATATTGACAATAAAATTAATAAAATACATACTTTTCCAGCACGGCGTACATCTTCCACAGCACGTTTGCTAAAAATCAATTTTTTTTTAATTGTTTTGAATTTAAATCATACTTTCTAATCATTTTGATTATTAGTCAAATACAATCTATTGCATACCTAGTACCATACAAATTTCCACTGAAGCATGCGGTTTCTAAAAACTGACCAGCATCAATGGCTTTTTGCATTTCTTCTTTAGTTGTGAAGTGATAATGAACACCATCTTCTTCTCCAACACGAGGTTGTCTAGTTGTGTGAGAAACACTAAAACCAAAAGTATTTGGAAATTCCTCAAATAATTTTTTGAGCAATGTACTTTTTCCTGACCCTGAAGGTCCACATAAAACTAAAGGGCGAGGGCCATGTAAAACCATCTTGGCAACTAAAAATGCAGGAAATATATTAGATAACTAATGAGAATATAGAAGCCAATGCAATCTAAGTAATAATTTCTAAGCAAACTACAGACTGCTCAAATAACAAAAATATATATAACATTATCTCAATGTTGAGCTTAAAAATAAAAATAAAATTGTAATAAATTAATTTCTAAACACGATAAACAAATTGGTATCAAATTATCACAAGGTGTAATAAATTATTAATATGAATTAACTGATAATCCACAAAATAATGGGATATTATTCAAGAAAACCTATGTTAACGTTCCGTCACAATTATTTGATAACTTAAAATTGAATTACTATTAGCATAAAATAAAATAAAATCATATTAGGTTAAGATTGATCAATGATAAATATAAAATTGATTAGCAGTTGAAGATATACAGTTTAATAAGATATTCTTGAGGTAGGCTAAAAATGAGTATAGAAATCATTACCGTTTTCTAATTACAATTGCAATATTTCATTTTACAATTACAAGCTTTTGAATAAGCAAGCAGTTATACTCTAAATGACATATATCACTTATATTGATTTGCAACATTTCTTCTTTGCATGCATGCAGAATTAATAAGATTAATAAAAATGTATGCAAACTGATCGACCTAAATTTTAAAGACCGACAGAAAAATTGTTAATAAATGTAGCAAATTCATTAAATTTACAAGAAAAAATAAATTTAAACATACAAAATTTAAATAAATATCTAAAATGCGAAAAGCAAATAAGTAAACTACAATTAAGATCTATAAAAATTATAGGTTATAAAAAAAAATATGAACCTGTACTATATTCTCTTTGCACAATTAATGAGAAAAACTAAGCACTGTGTGGCAGAATCGGGTTTTTAAAGCCTTATATACGATCTTGCGCAGTTTATATTCGAAAGACTAAAAAATCAATCATGTGCCAAACGTAGCATATGTTTTTTGTCTTAAAATTGTCTGGCGAGTTGTATTCCAGCACGAAGCTATTTAAAGCTAATTGTAATAAAACGATATTTATATTTACTTACAATTCTTAAAAAGGGAAATATTTATAAACATATGTCAACTACGCACGAAACAAATAACAAAGCACGTGTTAATTTATATGTTATGTGTCATTCGGTCATAGCGGTCGCGGTAGGTCGTGAACTTTACGGTGTGACACGTAAATATCAAATATGTATCACAAGTAATGGCAATATATATGTAATGTTATAACGATTTATGTTAACGATTATGTTTTAACGATTTATTTCAATTTAAGGATATTATAGACAATGGAGAAAAATTATATATATATATATATATATATATATATATATATACTAGATGACCCGATAGACGTTGTCCTGCACCCATGTCTCATTTCCATTTTTTTTAAATAACCTATACTGATATTTACCAATTAGTTAAAAATTATTATGTTCTTTACACTACACTTTTTACCGATATATATATATATATATATATATATATATACTAGCAAACCCGACGAACTCCGTTTCGCCACCAGATGGTTTCGTGAGAAAGATGAAGAAATTTTTTGTTTGTTTTCTATTTGAAAATAAAAAACTTGATTTTATTACACAACAGTAATGAATTTATATCGATTACAAAAATGAAGTATTTCTTAGTTGAACTTCTTTAAGTAAATGATAGTGATAGTGATTGAAGTGCTCTTTGGTAACCCACATTTTTTGTTTTTTGGTTTGATGTTAACACAAACAAAGCGGATGGTTTTCCAATTCGTGAACAGGCAACGTATAACTGCCCATGTGAAAAACAATGATTTTCTAAATAATCTATTTGAAATTTATCTCGCAAACACTAAGCAATTGGCCTTGCGACTTGTTATTGCGAACGCAAGGCGAACTGGAAATTGTAATCGTTTGAAGTCAAACGGAAGACCAGTCGCAATCTGGTATGTCACCAAATCGCCAGCAATTTTTGATTTAATGGTGAAATTCAGTGCGTGTACATCATTATTCTTTGCGGCAAGAATTGCTCGTTGACTTAATCATGCATAATTCTGATAATTCTCACTAATGTCATTACTCAAATTTTTAATTACGATGCGTGAAATTCCAGCAATTTGCATTAAGGCACGATGCCACTAATTTTCTAGCTATAAACATTGCGGAGCCCAAGACCTTTCCAACGAATGCAAAATTGTCGAAATCGGTTCGTGCGTTCTGGAGTTATATCGCCAGGAAGAAAAACTCGACTTATTTTTATATATATATGTATTAGATAATCTATTTGAAATTATTTAAAACAATTGTTGATTATTCTCATTACTCGAATTTTTAATTACGGTACGTGAAGTTTCAGCAATTTGTATTAAGGCACGATGCCATGCACCACTAATTTTATAAACTTTGCGGAGCCCGAGAACTTTCCAACGAATGTAAAATTGTCGAAATCGGTTTGTGCTTTCTGGAGTTATATCGTCAGGAAGGAAAACCCGACTTATTTTTATATATATGTAGATATATATTATATATATATATATATATACAGGGCCGGTTCCGCCTTGCATGCGATGCATGCAAAAAATGCGGGCGCAAACCTTAGGGGGCGCCAAAACGAGTTTCGGAAATTAAATTTATAATATAATATTTATATTCTTTTATATAAAATCTAGAATTATTATTTAAAATCTAAAATACTTAATAAATTTTAATAAATAATTTAACTTAACTAGGGATACGGAGACACCAGAAAAAGCGTATTTATTTTGCAATGTGATATCAGTAAAAACAATTAACCAATTAATAATTCTGCAAATTAGTCAATAACAGCTCTGTTTATTGCTTAATCTACTTATCAAATTTTTTCTTTGTTTGAAGTTACCGTGGGATCAAAAAAGAAATTATCTAGTGTTCAATCCCATAACCTGCGAAAGATTAAATTAATTGTTGGGCATTATTGACGAAAAATGGCGAGCTGATTTAGTTGAATCGGAACTTGTTAAAAAATATAAACAAATTATAAAAAATGGGGAGTCAGTGCTTAGAAAATTACTTGTTTATTCTGAGAAATTAAATTGTAACTTTTGCTTTTGTTGCAAATGTTTCGCATCTGTTGAACTTTGAATGTTGAAGACATGCGTGAAACAAATATGAAAAATGGAAACAAAATTTACTTTGAAACGAAAATCTTAAGACTTGTTTTATACCTAGTGGTGTCCATTAATAATTAATAACTATACAGAAATAATACATACCAAATATAATAAGTTTTTATTTCAATATTGTTCAAGAAATGTGTAATTTCTTTGCACTTTTTACTGATTTTTGAACAATACTTCTGAAATGAATTAAAAAGTTAACTTTAAAACAACAAGCCGGAACTCGAATATGACGGCTCTAACGATATCAATAAGGAGAAGTTTACGACGCAATTTTGGATATAGTAAATGATAAAAAATTAAATTAAATTAAAATTTAAAAATAATTGACAATTTCAAAATACTTGATTAAAATCAACCCCCGAATCGCCTCGATTTTCTAAATAAATTTAAAATCAATATATTTTATACGCTGTTAGTTTATATCTAATTTTTTGTGCACTAAATCCAGAATAATTAAAAATTAATTTATTTATTTCACTTAATATTTTTGTTAAATGAAAGTTACAGAATTTAAGAAATGCATTTCAGAAATAGTATTTATTATTTTGATATCAAGATCTCTATATAACTCTAACAAAAATATTAATTCTTTTGCTATGGTAGTCGAACTTACATCCTTAACCAATTTACTACATATTGAATATTACTAAAATGTGGAATTATGACAGGGATTGTTTTATTTATTGATATCGATAATAATAAATAAATTTAAAATCAATATATTTTATACCCTTCTAGATTATATCTAATTTTTTGTGTACTAAATCCAGAATAATTAAAAATTAATTTTTAAAAAAATCCACAACATTTGGTACCAGTGTTGGGATCTCAACATAATTGTTGTTAGCTCTGGGGTGCACAACAATATATATATCCATATGGGTGATCTTAAATGTACTCAATGTCTCAGAACCCACACTTAACTCTTTAATAAATGTGACATTCAAATCAGCCACGTAAATCATCAAACAAACAAATATTAAAATATGTTCAACAAAATAGTATATTGTAAACATACACTACAATTGTTTGAACAATTTTTTTTCAATAGCTCAATTTATTTCGTTGCCAAGGGTTATCCAATATTTTTAGTCATACCTGTAGATCAAAAGCGAGCAACCTTCAACCCACGGGCCAATTTAAATTTTAAAATGTTATGGCCCGGCAAACGTTTAGCTACAGGAAACATTTTTAGAAAATCATTACTTAGTATAAGAAATTACTAACTAATTCTGAATGTATAAATATGTGGTATATAAATGAAATGGGCAGCTAACGCAAATCACATTGATAATTTACCCTCTGCAACGCTGAAATACTAACATATCCATATGTGAATTATGTTATGCTATGCTTGGCGCAACGAGTGAGGTTTCAATCTCTGAAAAAAAATTCAGTTTTCTCTCAAAAACAGTTTAATTTTTTTCATATTTATTATTAAATTTCTAATATTTTTTGCTAGAATTGCTCCTTCTGCAAGACATTCAAAAACGATGTACTTTTTATGCACAGCGGGAAATATTTCCATGCATAATAGGATAAGCCTGTAAATCAGTTTCATCGGAATTAACCATTTCGTTGCCAATATCTAAAAATTGTTTTTAAAATGTTGCAGCGGATAGAGCGGATAAATTTAAGCTTTCTCATAAACTCAGAAAAATCTTGATTGAATTTCAATTAAAAACGTTTATAAAAATGGCGATAATAGTTAATTGATCGATTACCGAGCTTTATAAAAAATTAATGGACTACTAAAATGACTATTATATAATAATGAGTTGTATGTAGTTTTCCATTCTGCAATAAAAAATTAAAATAAAGAACAAAATAAATTGCTTTTTCTTTTTGAATAAAAATGAAGCTTTTCATAAATTCGAAAGTCTGAACTAAAATTAAAATAATGTAATTGCAACAAAATTACAAAATTCCCACAAGAAAATAACAAAAATTCAAAATTGAAAAAAGTATATATTTTATATAATTACGAGTGTAAGTGTTTATAAATATTACTACAAAATAAAAACAAATAATAGTTAAACAGGAAAGCTAAGCGGGCCGCGGGTTGTTTATCCATGCTGTAGATGTAGATGTATAAATAAATGATTTCTTGTTTATTCACGACTAAAACATCGATTTTCCAAATTTAACACACAAAAATTCATCGTCTGAATTTGTGATTTATATCATAAGATAATTTTTATAATCTCGTTTTCAGTAATAATATCCAAATTACATTTTTTTAATAATAATATGATATACATTATTACTTATTTGCATGATATTTTGGAATCTCTTAAGTTAAGTCTTAAGAAGTTAATTCTAGATTGAATACGAGTAATTTTCATTTTGGTAAATTGGCACTCATAAAACTATTTGATTTAAATGAAAAAAAACAGACCCTTAACAGTACACATTTTATAGCTTATTTTGAGCACTATATAGTTAATAATTAAATTTAGAGTAGGGCAGCAACAGAGGTAATAAAAAAGCTTGAAGGTTTTTGTCCTATTTCGAAAAAGTGATTTTAGTAATCGAATCATGTTTTTTTCGCTTTCAGGCAGTGAATATTTTGCACTGAATTTTAATTTAAATTTTCTTAAGCTCATATAAAAGCTTATTGTTTACCTCAGAAAACATTTTATTTTTGTCTGTAATTATAGGTACCGTACAAATCAAAAGCAAAGCTGTATATTTTCAACGGAGTTTTTGAAATCTCAGTCGATTCGTATAAAAGGCACTTGCAATAACTATTATAATGCTCCATTTATATGTAACATGCTTTGCAATGGGTGAACCATCCATATAATTTGTGTTAGCTCCTTTCACTTAAATGCTGATAACTTACATATTCACAATCAGTTAGTTATTTTTTATACTAAAAATTTTCTAGAAATATTTTTTGTGTCTCAACGTTTGCCGTGTAAGAT